CCCCACTCATACATAGAATAATACACCTGTCGCAGTAATTTTTTTTTTTTTTTTTTAAGAAACCCTTATTCAATGTCTCTCTATCTATATATATTTTAATTGTTATGAAGTGTCCCAACTTTTTTTTTTCATTGTATGAGATAAATGAAAATTTTCTTAATGATTTTAATCATATTTGAAATTTTTGTTTGATTTAGGTTGTGACATTTTTATAAAAAAATCAGTGTTCATACAATATTCAATAATATACAATACATATATTTTATGTTATTTATGCACCTGTCTTATTTTTATAACTATCGATAATTTTTTAGTGTAGAACATAACAAAGAAGAAAAGGGAAGACAATTTAACCATATGTATAAAAGAATTTCTAGTATTCTTCTAATTTACTTAAAAAATAATAATTACTGTTAGAGGGAGAATTTGAACTCACAACCTCTTGATTGGAAATATATTTTAATTACGCTGAGCTATACTTACTTTCGTATAAAATTTTAATTACTTAAAACAACCCATCATCAAAGTTAGATAAATATGGTAACAATATATTTTAATTGAATGGAGTGACCAAGAGTTTTGATAATTTACATTTAAAATAGTAATGGTTGAACGAGAATTTTAGTACCCTGTAGTTGAAATTAATTTTGTTGGGTAGCGGCCTCCTTAAACACTGTGAAGTAGAGGTTGGGCCGGGCTGGGCCCAAGACTTCAAATAATTTTAATTTAATATATATAGTATATATTTTTTATAATTATTTTGCTGACGTCAAGTCTTTGATGGTTTCCAAATGACAAAACCAGTTGCGCCTCTGCTTCACGGATGGCCATTTCGTTGTTATCTCCATGAGACCTGACCAGTGACGATTATTTCTGGAAGCAACAGCTTAGGGATACTTTTGTATTTTTATTTTTTTCAATTCCTTTTCATTACTTTATTGTATTTTTCATAATATAATAATTTGAATTACATGCTCTTTTTCTATTATTTAAGATTTATTTTTTATTTTTTTTATAAATGAAGGATTCCATCAATCTTTTAGTTAGACAAAAGTAGCTTTAACTCGTTGAATCATGTTCATTTTGATATTATTTATTTTTTCTCTACGTGCTATTATTTCTATTTTCTTATTATTTGATGGTTGACTATATTTGGTAGTTAGTATCAATTACTTTGTAACTTTTTTTTTATGAGTTTAGATTTAATATTTTGTTTGAAGTTATTGAGAATGATTAATCAAATAGGAAAGTAAATTAAATCAACATAAACATAGTTTAAGTAAATAACACAGTTATTAATAATGATAATAAATCAAAATTTGAATATTATCTTAGATACAAGTATTTTATTTTGTAGAAAAAAAATGTGACTAATATTTCTAAAGCTAAATATGTTGTTTATATATGTTGATGAACCAGTAACTATTGAAAAGTCATAAATGATTAAAATGATGAGTTAATGATAAAATTCACGCAACTTTTTTTAATCAACAATTACGGGTAGGAAATTTTTGATCTTTTAAATAACAATCGAATAATATTTTATTCCATTTAACTATACTCAAAACCTTACATGCACAATACATGCAATAAATTTGCATAGAAAAATATTTCTTTTCACAAATAACTACTTACTTATAATATTAAAACAAATGTAAATATTTACATGCTATAAAATCACTTCATTAAAGATTCATATTTGCAAACATGAGTTTAAGTTAGTGGTAGTTGGCATCTGTCTTTCACAAAGAGGTTATGATTTCAAATCTCTCGTATCTATTTGTTGTATTTAAAAAAAAAGTTGACAATTTTTTTAACAAATAAGATTTAGAAAAACGTGAACAATATTTTTGAAACACTATTGCCCAGGTTTAAAAGATTTTCCTTTCTCAAGAACACAATAGTACAAATACATGTTGGAGTAAAAATTTAAACAATTATACAAATTAGTTGAAAATTATAGCATAATTAATATTTTTTTCCTTTGATATATTCGATAATAAGAAGAATAATAATAATAATTTTATTTTTAATGTATACTTTTTCTTGCAATAAAAAAAGTGGGTATAAAAGATTTGGACCTTGAACCTCAAAGAATGATAGCATATATTTAGCATGGGGTGATACTTCAGTTGAAAAGAAAAGAAAAGAAAAATGAAATATATATATAGTAGATAGGATATTCATATTGTATTAATTATTTTTCTTGCACCTACATTTAAGCGCATGCCCAAATACGTCAGCCAAAGATACCACAAAGCATATATTAAAATAAAACAGCATGATTAATTGAATTGAATTTAATCAATCATCTTGTTTCTTTACAATTTTCACAACATTAATTTTTTTTTTGTTTAATAAGTCATTTTATTAACTTCGCTGGTTCAAACGATTACACCACTATATCCACGAACATCTTGATGCGGAATTTTGAACGAGTCCAAAATCCTCTATTGATTTGAAATAGGATGTTCAATTAGTCGAGGTGACGACCTAAAAACCTTACACCTAATAGCACTTGACCATGTATATTTTAAAGTTTAAGTTAGTACTTAGTTTGAACTTGTGTCAATTTGAACTTAGTTATATAGAATAAAAATGAAATTACGTACATTGTCAGGAATAAACTTTGTCTTAATTTTATATTGGTGGCATCGGTATTTTAAAGACAGCGTAGAATTGGACTTTCATAGTATAAATTAGAGTTAACTACATATGAGCTAGAGTATGAACACGTGTTTTATCAATGAGAGGGACACGTGGGTAAGCTCTAATTCCACCAATATAACCAAAACAATCAACGTGATAGGAAAAGAAAAAGAAAGAAAGAAAGAAAAAGCTCTAATTATCGAAACTAATTAGAGACAAAATTGAAAAGAAAAAGAAAGAAAAAACCCATCGGAGGAACGGTGGGGTCTGTTTCAGAGGGGGGGCGTCCCTGGAATAAAACACCAACTAACACAAACCGAAACTCGCCCCCACATGCATGATCTGTCACGTGTCAACCTACTGCCACATTCAAATATTTTCAATTTTGCCCTTCCCAACCAACCAAATTCCCAAAAATGCCATTTCCGCTCTCCTCCACTGCCTATGCTCCCATTTGATACTACGCTAGATTTAGGACTCTCTTCCACTAGCATTAATTGAGTTGAAGGTATTGTGATTCTGGAGAAAATATTTCGTGGGTTGAAATTTGTTCTTATTACTCTGATGGATAAACTGTTTTATTGGTCAAATGTGTCATTTTTTAATGGTTTATCTACCTACGAGATAATTGTCTTTGATTTTGAATGTGGTGCGTCACTGTTATGATGTAACCCTCAATAATTAGCATTATTTATTTTATCTAAAAAAAATTTATTTTTATTTTTTTCAATAAATTAATTTATTTTTTTAATAGTCCAATTCTCTTTTTGAGCATGTTACAAAATAGCATATTAGAAGTAATAATATATTATTTTTCTGGTAGTGTATTTTAAAATTTTAAAAACAATAGAATTCATTATTTAAATAACCAACCTAAGGTTGTATAAATCTTAGTTAGTTAATTTTCCCGAAGTTAATAGGTTAAAAGTTAACTGTTTATTTCAATGAATCACAATCAATCTTAAGAAGAATGGAACAACTAATGGCTAAAAATAATAAATGCGTTTATTTTTTCAAATACTACCTATTTTTGTGGCTTTTGAATGGGAAATTAGTAAATATTGATTTTTATATTCCAATAAAATAAATAGTTGAGAGATTTTTTTTAAAAATTTTTTGAAGACAAACCATAGCTTCTTATCTAAGAATCACAATCAAATTTCAAAAACGAAAACAGCTGATGGCTAAAAATAATAAATGTGTATTTTTTTTCTCCATATATATATATATATATATTTCAACTATTACCTATTTTTCGTGGCTGTTGAATATCTTTTCTTTTTTTTTAAATCGTGGCTGTTGAATGTCTATATTATAAAGAATAACGTGTTTTTGTGAATTCAAAAATTTTATAATAGTAATATTTATGCTTTTAAACAAATTAGTAACAATATGAAGTAAATAAGATAAGAGTGAGTTTAGTTGATAACCCAACGCTGACAATAAATATTTGAAAATGAGGGATTTAGTAAAAAATAGAGTTCAATGAATTACTTTTTAATATTTATTTAGTATCAAATTTAAAAATCGAATCATTAGTAGTATATTTGTAAATCATAGTGGAAGGTATCAAATGAATATTTAATTTAATTTACAGTTTTTTTAGATAAAATAGATTTATTAAGACAAGAAAGAAGGCCACAACCAACCAATTTAAACTTTTATTTATCTTAAACGTGTGGAACTTGTGTTTTTAGGTGGGTTCATTCATCCTTCACACAAAGTCACAGCGTAGAGGTTTAGCCGAAGTAACTTTTTTGTGGAGGTAATTTTAAAAGAAATTAAATTTCCAAAGTCTTTTTTTTTTTCCAAAGTTATATTGTTGTGAAGTTAAGATTTACTTTATCCGTACGGTTAGTTAGATCTCCGTAGGAAAGATCCTAACAAGACCTTTACCAGAAATGCAGGGTTTTTCTTTTTTTAATTTTACCGTTTTCACTTTTTATTTTTTATTTTTATTTTTTGATGAGTTACTTTTTTCACTTTTACTGTAACAATAATTAAATAGGGCCCACGGAATTATACTGTGATGAGGCTGGCCGTTGGCAAAAAGCCAACCAGGGGTAGAGTCGTAAATATGCAGATCTTAATGGGCAGTTTTAAAGCGTGGGCCCTGGATAGTAAGGCCCACCCACTATGGCCCATGTACCTCTCCAATCGTGCCCTTGAAAAAGCCATGACGTCGAATCCGGCGAATAGCACAATCAACCGCCACGATTCTGACACCTACTCACCCTCAGGATCTAATAACAACCGTCCGATGAATTCAGCGGCACACGGGGTCAGAAAGGTAATTTCGTAGTGTTCCGTTGCTATAAAACGGGCGGGGAGATGCAGAGTATCAAAGGGACGAAGAAGCGAAGTTCCGCAATAGATCGGAGCTCTTCAAAACCCTAGGAAAAATTATTTTGTGGCGGTGTTGTCGCAGAGAAGACGCCCTCGTAGGGAATGCTGAGAGATGATAGGAGCTTTGTTGACAAGTTTCGTCTCTAGTGGTCGAGCTGGCAACTGCATCGGCGGCCGGAACTGTCACCGGAAACACGTCGAAGACGGGTGATCCATTTTTCCCCCATTCTCTTGCTGTTGCTACTTCTTCAATTTTCTCTATCCCTACGCTCTAATCAAAATTTTTCAAAAAAAGAAGGCGAGATCGTTTGTATATACCACAGTATTTCTAGTTTAATCTCTGAAAGAAGAAGATCGAATCGATGGCGGAAAAGGATAGAGACTGTCTCTCTGGTGTGCTCCATGGGAAGTATGAGTTAGGTCGGCTTCTAGGGCATGGTACTTTTGCTAAGGTTTACCATGCCCGGAACTTGAAGACTGGGACGAGCATGGCGATGAAGGTGGTTGGGAAGGAGAAGGTCATAAAAGTGGGGATGATGGAGCAGATCAAGAGGGAGATCTCGGTGATGAAGATGGTGAAGCATCCGAATATTGTTGAGCTTCACGAGGTTATGGCGAGCAAATCGAAGATCTATTTTGCTATGGAGCTTGTTCGAGGCGGGGAGCTGTTCTCCAAAATATCCAGAGGTCGATTGAGAGAAGATGTGGCCAGAGTGTATTTTCAGCAGCTTATTTCTGCGATTGATTTTTGCCATAGTCGGGGGGTTTACCACAGGGACCTCAAGCCGGAGAATCTTCTTCTCGACGACGACGGAAATCTTAAGGTCACTGATTTTGGACTCAGCGCATTTTCAGAGCACTTGAAGCAGGATGGATTGCTGCACACCACTTGTGGTACGCCGGCGTATGTTGCGCCTGAAGTCATCGGGAAGAAGGGATACAACGGCGCCAAAGCCGATCTATGGTCATGCGGAGTCATCCTTTACGTTCTTCTCGCCGGGTTTCTTCCATTTCAGGACGACAACATTGTGGCCATGTACAGGAAGATTTACAGGGGAGACTTCAAGTGCCCGCCGTGGTTCTCACCGGAATCCCGCCGGTTAATCACAAAGCTCCTCGATCCAAATCCGAGCACACGAATTACAACTTCGAAGATCATGGAATCATCCTGGTTCAGGAAATCCGTGCCCCGGACTGTGATTACGAAAGAGGAGCAGGAATTCGACGAGAGCAACGAGAAATTGAAGCAGTCGGAGACGCTGAATGCTTTCCATATAATTTCACTATCAGAAGGCTTCGATTTGTCGCCGTTGTTCGAGGAGAAGAAGAGGGAGGAAAAGGAGGAGCTGAGATTCGCGACGACGAGGCCGGCGAGCAGCGTGATATCGAAACTGGAAGAGGTAGCAAAGGCTGGGAAATTCAGTGTCAAAAAGAGCGAGTCGAGGGTCCGATTGCAAGGCCACGAGTGTGGAAGAAAAGGGAAACTGTCGGTGGCGGCGGAGATATTCGCCGTGACGCCGTCGTTCCTGGTGGTGGAGGTGAAGAAAGATCACGGCGACACGCTAGAATACAACCAGTTCTGCAGCAAAGAGCTCCGGCCGGCGCTGAAAGACATTGTCTGGACATCACCAACGGAGAACTCCATGCCGGCTTGAGATTTAGGAGATGGTAAAAGGACCAAATAAAAATTCAGTTGTTTCTAGTATTTGGGTTTCCTTCTCTAGTAGATTTGACGCCATTTTTAGATGTTGTTGTGTGTTCTTAAGATTGCTGATTAATTCGAATTAGAATGGAAGACAGAGAAACAAAATGATGAAGCAGAGGGAGAGAGTTCCGTCTCTCTCAAATTGTCATGTCACAGTTGGTTCGTATCTTCATGTGTTATGTGCATAAAATTGTTGTAATCCTTCACGAAAATCTCTTCTTTTCCTCCATTGTTAAAGCTGAATAGCCTTTTTCTTAGTATCGAGATAATCAGAATCAAGAGCCCATTCTAATCTAAGCATGCATTGAACTGAACCATGGATTGTAAAGTGAATCTGTTGGGCCTCTCTCTCTCTCTCTCTCTCTCTCCTCAATTATTGTGTTACTCTGCAAGGCATTACTTTTTTGTCCAGAATCTTGAGTGCCACTTTTACAGTATCGTCTGGAAACCCATCTCTTATTTCCAGCTTCAAACAAAAATGCATGATGGGTAGAATAAAACCAATTGATGGTTTGGGTTTTCTTACAGGGATAAGTAGACAAAGCACAAACACCTTTCTTTGTCGATCATTCTCAGATGCCATGGTATGCCTTTAAAAGCCTTTGGATTTACTTGGTTTCTTAGATGGTAATCTTTGAATTTATGCCCAATTTGGTATACATTTGTATATGAAATTTAGGAGTTTAAATTTGATCCTTATGGTCTCTAGATTTTTTTAGTTTCATTTTCTTACTTCAAAATCGTACATTTTTACTCTTGATTCATCAATAATGTCCTGTCCCCCTTCCCCCACCACCCTCAAGAACCAAAGCGGGTTTCCTTATGTCATGTATGATTTTAAAATCTCACCATCAAATGGAAATGAGACCACCAAATCGAAGGATAAAAAATTTAAAACTCAATACATGAACTTTTTTTTTTTTTTAACTATACATGAACTTTGTTCATTAAAGGGATTTACCACATCTATTTACTTGTTGACTCAAAACTAATCTTATTCAATCTACTTTTTAATTACTTTTAAAAGGTTATTTTCCCTTTGTTCAAACATGTTCTATTTCATAAAAGATAGTATTTTTGCTCAAACCTCTTTTCTTTTTTTTTTTTCAAATATTTTATTAATTATTTAAAAGATACAATTTTTTAGCATATAATAGCTTGTGTGAAAGTCTTTGACTTTGTGAGGTAACCAGTTAATATGCATGATAGTTTTAGATTAAGGCTCAGGTTGAAAGTAATATAAAAAAATATATTTTTAAAAAAGTCAAAAGCACTTGAAGTATTCTGTGAGAAAATACTTAAACGATCTTTAAACAGAAAAGATTTATTAGAAAACACTCGAAAAAGATTTTGAAGAGTGCATAACCAAATATCAAAATGATTTATTCATCTTTTTGCTAAAGTATTTATAATTGATATCATTCACTAGAAGTACTTATTTTGAAAGCATTTATAAACACACTTTAAGAATTATATCCCAAGTGTCACAACAGTAGGCAGTGGTGATGCTTCTTTCATTAATATTCAGCCATTATTAAAAAATATATTTTAAACTATGTTTTGAGACTTGATTTAGCACACACTCTTAGGGGTGAGTAAAGATCGCTGAAAAATCTATTCGATCAACAAAAATCGACCCAATCGACTTTGGTTAATCGATTTGATGAAATTTTTGGTTGGGTCTTTAAGTTTTTTCTTAGTTGTATTTCTTTTAAAATATTTTTCAAAATTTTTCTTTCTTCCCACACCCCCTCCATCACTTTTCTTTATTTCCTCCATTTTTCTTCCATCTACGTCTTTTTCACTTCATCTCACTTTTGCTTCTACAAATCGATAGGTCAGTCGGTGCAACGAAGGATCAGAAAGTTGTTGGTTCCATTTTTTGGAAATCGACATGGTTGGTTTCACGTCGATTTTCACTAAGTACTGATTGATGATCACCCCTACAAACTCTAACCCTAAAATCATGTCTAAACTAGAATATTCACAAGAAGAAAGAAAGAAAAAAACATTAGCCCCCATATAAATGATGATTGCTATGAATATGAGCAATAAGAGAGAGTATGAGTTGTAAAGCTAAATGATTTTTTCTCCATTTCCAAAGCTTCCTAATGCCATGTGGGAGATCATGCAATCTATTCACTTTCTTCTCTCCTTCCCCTTTCATTTTTCATCCACCATTCTATCCCAATAATTATTTCTATTTCTATGAAAATAGCACCTCCAAGAAAACGAAATTTGAAAGAGAACAAAATAATCAATTCTTTTTTTCTAAAAAAAATGCAATTCTTGTAAACTCAACTTCCTTTTCTTAAAGTTTTAACCTATATATGGTTACTTGAAGTGTCTTTTTAACAAACTTTCATTTACATGTCAGGTTGAGATGAATGAAATAGATCTATAGACAAATTAAAAAAAAAAAATCAGAAATTATTTGGTTGGTGATCCGAAAACAAGAGAATGAAACACAGGGTTTACCTTCTAAATTTTCAAATTCAAATTCTAAAAATGCTAAAAACATACCAATGTTGTTTTTAGAATTTTTACTATTTGAATTATGAAATTGATAAACCATTTTAAAAAACAAATATGCTAAAACATATATTCAAAATAAGAAACAACAAAATCTGGATTACCCACCAATCAAAGTATTTAAAAATCTTTTTGGAAAAAGAAAAAAAGGGTGACAACATGTGGGGAAGTCAGATGGAAAACAAAAAAATGTTGAAATAATGGAAATGTAGAGAAGGGTTTGGAAGTAAGGTTCTTCACATGGGTTTGGCTTTGTTCCACTCTTTTGTTTGGCTTTATTATTTTCTCCAAAGACACAAAAAGGGAATAAAGGCTGCATCTGTTCTTTAATTATATCCATTTCATTTAGCCCCATCTTCCCCTTTTGATTCCATTTTCTATAATGTCCTTCAAAACCAAGTTCCAAAATTACTTGGCTACCATCAATACAATATCTTATATATCACACAATAATAAATAAATTGGGCCGGTGGATCCTAATCAACGAATAGGTTCAATTCAAGCTTAGATTGAGAGCTGATTAACGTCCTTTCGACTGTGTCAGTGTTGTGTGGCAGAACACCTTGTTTTGTAAAGACATTCGAGATTATTGTTATCATAGTAATAATAGTATAACTGCTTAGTCATATGTATATCGATATAACTACGAGAAAACTCACAATTAAACAAAATAAATATAGTTTTGATATGAATTTGAAATAAAATGATGTCCACAAACATTATATTATGAAAGAATTGCAGACATAAATTCATGAGGTTGTGCATTTACTATATGGTTTGGAGAAGTTGCCTTTTAGGCCACAGAAAGGTTCACCCAATGACTCTTCAAGAAATTTGAGGCTACCCATTCAGTTGGGGAATTGGATCACAACTTCACTTCTTCAACCACTATATATTCTTTGCAAGGACCCACCACATAAGTCTCATATCCAATCCAATTTTTGTTTTGGGATACAACTTTTTTCCTTCTTTATTTTGATTTTGGAGACCTCGACAAGGATTCCTCGGCCTAATGAATCGTGTTTTTAATTTAGAATGATTTCGGAGAGGTGGAAAATGAGAAACAAGAAACCGTAAAAAATATATCTCATCTTGATGGGTGGAAATGGTGGATGAAGTTGGGTAACGTGATCTTTATGAGTGTTTGTCTGCTTTTTTATTATCGTGATGAATAGAATTAATGGGGAAGATACTTTGTATAAGCTAGAAAAGAAAACATAGAAGAAAGGATTGATAAGATTAGTTTTGTTGAAAGAAAATTCCACTAAATCCCCTACCTTTTGTGCATGATTGTATTGCTCACCTACCAATTACCTAAGAGCCATGCTGTTTTTGGAGTTTCTGCTTCATAAATTGGTTGCAATATGCTGTGTTTAGAGAGAGAGAGAGAGATTATAAAAATCAAAGAAAATTAGGCATTGATAATTCATTTTTAAGTAAAGTGTGATTAGTGGAATATGGTGGGTGTCTCTGTTTGGTGGATGGGAAACCTCATTGAGAACAATGGCTCTCTTTCTTAATAAGTGGAGCTTAATTAACTTTAAAAAAGAAAAAAAAAATAAAATAGAAAAAGGAGGTGGAGCTTAATTAGAGGATGAATATATATTATGATTAGATTGATATACTAATATACATTTTGTTTTATTTGCGGTTTGCTACATCTATGAATTGCAATCATCTTGAACTTAAATCTGATTTCCTCCTGGAAATTCGGCTTCTTAAGGATGAAATCTCTACATTAGGTCAACTGAACCTCTTGATGGAACTGCGCTCGCTCGCTCTGTCCTTCGACTCGATTTCTTTCGCCCACGTCACACGAATTTGTAACAAACCTGCTCATTTTTTAGCAAAAATGAGAATTTCGGTATCAACGTCCTTTTGATCTTCTAATTTCCCTTCCATTATTGCCCAGGTGGCTTAATTTAATTTAACTCTATTACTTTCAAAAAAAAAAAATTTGTTTTATTTGAATTTGACAGTTGGTTATGATGATTTATACTTACTCTCCAGTGTTCATTCCAACTTTTTCTTTTTAATAGGAAAATTCAAGAGATAAACTATTTGACATAATAATGGTGAAAGGAAAAAAAAAAAAAGATGATAAAGATTGACATAAACAGATATATTATTTATATATTCCAAATCATAAACCTAACACAAAGGGCTTAACAGGGGATAAAGTGTTAAAAAGAACCGACAATCCAAAAGATTCGAGTAACCTAACTCAATTCAAATGATTTGGGTTCCATAGAAAACTAATTGGAATAATATTATATTCACCGATTGGATTGATCTGATTTTTTGATCTACTGAGTTGAACCGACCCAATTCACAATAGTATATAATCGTAACTTTTTAATCTAAATTCATTTAAACTGAAACCCAAACTCAAATGGATAGATTGAGTTAGTTGTTTGACTTTTTTTTTTGAAACCTTAAGTTAATTACATATGTGACAATATATAACTCTATGATGTGAGTTTTGATTGAAACCCAATATAACCGAACCAACCCAATTTAATTTAATTTTTATGGGTCGATTTGGGTTAGAAATCTATAACTTGATCCAAAATATTACAAAATCCAACCAACCCATAAACATCACTAATTGCTTCTTAAACCAACTTAATTTAGCTAAGTAGTTGCTTATACAGATTAGTAACAACTAACAAGGCCATTTTATAGGGTTTATTTGAACTCTTGGCTTTTCCATAACCACTGAATTGTTATTATTTAGTCTCCTAAAAGAAACAACCTTCTTAATCTCTAATAATAATTATGAAAGAAAAAAATTCTATGAACACAAAGGATATAATGATCGAGAAAAGTTATTTGAACTCCCCTCGTGACATTTAAATAGAAAATTCAGCCCAATATGAATTTAAATGCAGACATTTGTTTGAGCAATGTAGCAAGGCAGGGTACATAATAATCAATCAAGTTTTTTTTTTCTCTCTCCCTTTTAAAAAGAATATAATTAAAATCAAGTTATATGACAATTTATACAAAACCCAAAAATAAATAAGCAAACATATACTAAAAAATTATATGTTCTACAAACTAATAATCACTTCTAATAATTCCTCCTAAGGGTAACATTGTTTCAGTAAGAATCTCCCAAGCATACCTTAAATGAACTTTGTTTAAGATATGCGGTTTAATTACTACAAAAACTACCTATAACAGGAAAAAAATATGATGTAAAGAGGAAGAACGAACAGAACTCGTTTTCACTTAATATGCACTCCAAACAGTTTGAAGCTCTTGACTTCAGCATCATCTTTTATCTCATTGTTTACTTGCTTAGGCGACACCGATTCCTCGATTTCGTCCCGCAAAAAATCCAGCTGCATTTCACAACTCTGGATATTGTTCTCGATCGAGCTGCCACTGTTGTGGCGATTTTTGACATCCACCACACAGAATGTAGTTTTAGTAGCACTTGCCTTTGTTGCTTCACACAAGTAGAAAGCTATTGTGTCATTAGCTCTCAGTTGCTTTTCCTTCACAAATCGGTTCCAACCCCGCGTAAACACATAGCTCTGGCTGCTTTTCCAGTAACAGTATCGAAATTTCCACTGTCTCATCATTTTGTCAAAAAATACCAGCTGCACATCACGATCGTCATCGATAATACCTTCCTCATTTTCCTTTTCACAGGCTGATATGGGAGGGAAGTATTTAACAGCATATTTCTTTGGGATGACCAATCGGTTTAACTTACCAACATCGCTTGGTGTCAGCTCTTTTTGAAAAAGTTGCTTAATAGATGTCCCTCCATTCTTATGCATCTTTCCAGCAGAGGGACCTACAGATGATTGTGAACTTTCAGAACGATCCCTCAAATACTCCGCAAATTTGGTTCTATAAGAACCATCCTTTAACATATTAAGCAAAGCTTCTGTAGTGTAAAGTTTCTGAAAGTTGGGCTCTTCAATAGTAAATTTGGTCCAAGGAAAGTTTCTATGACAGTCTCCACTTCTGATTCTGATGGCTGCACTATCATAAGCCATGGCTGCATCATTCTCCGACTTGAATGTACCAAGCCAAATACGCTGGTGATTGGCGTATATTTGAGCACCCCAGTGGCCATTCTGCTGAGGGACAACACCCTTGAATTTTGAGGTTAAACTCCTTCCTAGTCTTCTGCATCCATTGGCTGGGAATGGACAAGTGATGCAGCTTGAATCTGAACCTTCTGCAATTGCATTCACCCTGATTTTTGAAATCATACTTGGCCACTCCTGTTTCATCATGGTGGTTCTGAAAAAAAAAAAAGACAAGCGAAGGCTTAGATTTTGTACGAACTAATCCGTTTAATCTACTATTATTATCCAACATAACCAAAGCATACGTCACCAGCTTATGTCAAGTAAGTTGTTCATCAAAGTTCAAACAAAAAGAAGTTCTCCACCAATTAATCAAAACAGTCAGTTGCTACACCAAACAATTAAATACCAGATTTCTGGTTCATGGAGTATACCATATATAGCCAATAGGGAAGAATAAACCTATCAAATCATAGAATCCCTCGACGATCCAAATCCATGATAAAGAATCAGTATGATATGTGCCATACCATCATAGGAAATGTCATGATTGTTGATTTTTATCGAATTAAAAATAGAGTTGAGTGTGAGAAAAGCTTACTTAGTTGGATAACTTTATAGAGCAGTGCCTGAGTTGAACAGTGTTGCAAACCAAATATTACAATGGATTGGCTCTATCATTAGGGTTGTTTGAATTGAAAGTATTTGCAACCAAACAATTGGGTTGAGTCTAGAAAGTCCTTTAACTCAATCCAATCAGTGAAGATTCCTACTCTTTCAAGATTTTTACTTAATTAATGAAATAAATCATTTTGACTCTTACCAAACAATGTCTAAAAATTTTAAAAAAGACTTCTTTACATTTCACCATCCCAAAACCCATGCCACCTCAGAGGATGTGAATGAAATTTCACAAAATTGAATATCATTACTTTTAGTGCTTATTTTAGCAAAATAGTAAAAGCTAAAATCAACAAGCATCATAATTCACAGGATTCAAGAAACAGTATCTCATTACCAATCAAATCTAAAAGCATAATCATTACAAGCTACGAGTTCTTTTGGCTTGGCGGTAGTTTCTTCAGATATCTATTCAAGTTTTAATAAAAGATAATTTTTTTTCTGAAAAGGAAGAAAAAAATTCAAGGATACAAGCACCCAAAGGAAGCGAAAAATGAAAAAGGGAAAAAAAAACAAACAGCACATTGAATACAAAAACCCATAAAAATAAGAGAATTGAAGTCCAAAAACAGAAACTGAACACTGATTACAAGAAAGCTCGCCAAAACAAAGGACAGATGGCTGAGGAGGAATCAAAAAACCATCACTTAACACAAGCTAATCACCAGAAGAGAAGAAACTGAAACCTCCCTCCACCAAGAGAAGACACAAAAGCGAAAGAAACTCAATCCCCAAAACTACTGTGAAGCGGAACCAACCAAAAACCTGATGCCCATAATAAAAGCCTATGTAATCAGTGATTGGATCTAGGGTAAGGCCAACATCTTCAAAAAATTTAAAAAACCTTTGATTTTCTGTGCAAGAAGCTTTTTCGATTCCCAAAGTCAGCTCCCGAGTAGGAGAACAAATGGAATCTATTTTTGCAGAAGAGTGATTATCCCTGGAAAAAATAAATTAAATTCCTCTCGTAAGAAAAACTCTAATAAATCATCATTAGCGCTTCCTCCACCAAATACTCTATTGGATCTTCACTTCTAACACTAACATTGAGATCTTCTTCATCTTTAGACAAAACGTGATCCTTGATTAGAAGATTGGCCTGCTCATTTGTACAATTGATGATACCATGGCTGAGAGGTGAAGCGCCGTTCTAGAACCCTCCTCTTTCCTTTGCTTGCCTTGAAGAGTCATTCTTTTTCCTCGAGTAAAAAAATGCCAGGGGGGATAGTCCTAGGCGGCAGTACATCCGAGTCAAGAGTTGGGCTACCATCAATCTGGTCGTTAGTTGTCTTGGCTACCTTAGCACCTTCTAAAGTTTGAGGATCAATTCTCAATTCATTACCTTGAGCAGACAAGAGTTTCGGTGAAATGCTATCCAAAATAGGAAGAACATTTGGGCTGCCCTCTACATTTTCAAACCTAACTTCAGATTTAGAGTATCTTTTGTCAGATGAAAACTCATGGGAGGCTCTTCATGTGATAGCAACAAATGAAGCCGTTGAACATCTATCACATTGGAGGATCTTGCAACTAACATCTTACTGGAGATCAAACGCTCTCAACCTCTTTCACACGAACTATAATGCTGCCAAAGTTTGTGTTGATTTTAATTGATGTTGGTACGAATCCACACGAGTTCTCTACCATCTGGATCATGGCTTCTGAACAATCCAAGAGATTTAAGATTTTGTAGGAAATCATCTTTAAACCACCAAGATGAAATCATATTTCTTCAAATTATTGCTTATTCCAAAGATTTAAAGGTAAATAGCAGATCTTTACCCACCCTCTAAAGCATTCCACCACTTCCTTCTTGCTATGGTCTTCAAAGCTTCATCTCTCTAACTTCAAATGGAACTCTCCTACTTTTCGCACGAGCCATTAACCCACTTTGAGTTCAACAATCCATCTTCCTCGAACTTTAAAAGCCCTTTATCTGCCAAAAACGGGTTAATATGACAGTCTTGAGAGAACTTTTCTTTAAGTGCCACAGCTATATCCTTCCAGCCGTCTAAGGCACAAAATTTCGTGATGACCATCATACTGTCCCAATCACTCTCCAAGACTTTAGAATCCTTCCTAATCCAAAGTTGCTTTAGAAGACCTGTAAAAGAGACCCCCGTATTCTCTTTAAGAAAAGTGTCCACCCTACCTTGGAAGGCATCCTTACCTTTTAAAGGTTCAGAGTGAGAACGAATCAAACAAAGGCAATAGCTTGCCCTAACTTGCCCTACTCTCATGAATTTCTTCATGCATGACCTTCCATCTCTCAGATCTCAGATTTCTCATTTGAGTTATGTTTTTTTTCTTTTTCGGTATGATTTATTTTCTTCTCTCTTAGATCTAAGAACTATTTGTCTTTAGTTCTTGGTCTCCTTCTCTGTTGTCTGACACTTTCACTGGACTCATTTTTTATTTTTCCTTTTTTATCTTGCTCCAAGTGTTGTGTTTTAGAAGAGGTAAACAAAAGGGAAAAAGAAAAGAGAGATATATCAGTTTCGATCGGAACTGACCGACATGTGAAAAATAAAGAAAAAGGAGGGTCGGTTTCAGTGTCGGTTCAAATACCAAACCAAGCCGATTGACCGATGTACAGGTCTGGTTGGGGGACAGAATATGTGAAATTTAGTGGTGAATTTAACCTTGTTGAATCGGGAGTTCCAGTTTCCCAATACCATTCAAATGTTAAGAAATGAATGCAAGGGCTCGGTATAAGTGATATATCCTCGCAAAAGAATGAAGTATGGGGAATAGGGTCGTCGATAATGTTAGACCTAGAATAGGTGGATTCAGCTTGACTACATTTTGTAGTCATTAAAAGCACTTTTCAAAATTTTCACCGGGTTAGGTTACATGTTAAAAAAGTAATTTTGAAAAAATGTTTTGCTTAAAACTCTAAGAAGTCATCCAAAATTCACTCTACAATTCACATTGTTCTTCTAAAGAGTGAGACATTTAAAAAGATGGGGTTTATGATGACTTGCAAACAAGAGATAAAGCTTGACATAGGATGAAAACAAAAGGGTTAGAATTCATGTACATGTTGCAGGGAACAACTCAACTGCAAGCAAAGTAAATTTGATGAAATTTACAAGTAGCCTAACAACAGATAATGTTGAACAAAATAAAAGAGAAACGATACATTTTATCATTCTTTTACCTACTGTTAATCCACAAGAACAGTAAGGACAATATCAAATCAAGCAACCATATAACTAATTAGCAGCAAATACAAGAGAATGAATTGATAAAACGATTAATTTGCTTTTTTGTTCTTTTTTCATCTTCCATAGAATCTTATGAAAAATAGTTAATCAACAGAAACAAAAAGAAAAGAACAAATAAAATTTGAATCAGCAGAAATTCAAATGAGGAAGACCTACAAAAATACAAGAAGAAAGTTTGAAACAATTAAAATTATGATAATTTGTGTTCTGTTTAGATATTCCAAGTCTGTCTCTCAACTCAAACAATCGTAAAAAATGCATCTGATCAGTTCTTTTATGTAGAGAGTCTAATGGATATATACTAATAGGTACAGAAACCTCATCTTGCATTCTTCCAAAAATGCAGGGAAAAAAGGATAGGAAGTTAACACCAATAACAGCCTACCCGCAACCAACTATGTATGACCAAAAACCATGAATACACAAGTTTTTGGTCACTTATTTAGTTATTAATATTCGTGTATGGTTAGATTAACGTTCCATTTCTTGATGAGTTGAATGTATTAAATGTTTGTGAACATCATAAGCATTTTAAGCATGTATATAACCTCAAGCAAACATTCCTAAGAATATAAACTATCTTTTATGTCAAGATGGAAGCAAATTTCTATTTCCCCCGGAAATGACCTGCTGACCTAGTTGCTAAGAACCAGAAATTTAAGACTTGGAATTTGGAAATAAGAATAGAGTTCAAGTAAAAGAAATAGAGTTCAATATGTTTACATTTGGATCGATCAAACTAGACAATAAAGTCAACTTTGCAATGCCACACATGTAAGATAAATAATAGATGGATTCTTTCATTCACATTATTCAACAAATGCGACTTAGAGTCCATAATTTAGCAACTTAAAAGAGATTAAGAGAGACGGATACAAGGGAAAACCATTAATAAAAATAAAAATCCAAACATCCAGCCATAATTATACATCCAAATCTGACATTATACCTAAGTAGGCACAAGAGTAAATTCATATCCTCCAAAATTAAATTGCTAACCATTACAGAACTAGTAACTATATAATCAGGTGCAGCCTGAAGAATACAATTTAAATTCAAGGAGACAATAATCATGATAGCAAATATTTTTCTCTTGTCGACAATCTGGTTATATGGATTGACTTGAAGAGAACACGGTAAAAGAAACAGCCACAGAGATACAATGGACAGATAGTTTCTTTTGTTCAAGACAGTACTTGGCCATTTTTCAAGAATTTCTCATCTTTCCTAGTTAAAAAAAAGGGACAAAATAAATAACCTTATCAATGTGAAAATTACAATTTTACTCATCAACGTCAAGTCACCTAATTTTATAGAGAATAAAACATATTTAACAATTCCAACAATGCAAATTTATTTGTTATATGCTTTATACCACGATAAATAACCAATATCAAGAGGTCATGATTTCTAACCACCATGAGTATTGGTGTTAAGTGGACTACAAAGAAGCACAGACACAGCGACGCATTATTTTCTAAAAATCTAAAACATGAATACAACGTGGACACAATAACTAAAATATGCATTTCTTTAAATATATGTCTCTTTTTGTACAAGAGAGATTTAAAGTTATTAAGTTTGTGCATTGATACGATTAGAAAAAAATAAGTTTAATGGATTTCACCCTCAAAATTTATTATTTTTAACATATATTATTATTCATGTATGTTTATTATATATAAAAAGTGTTTGACATATGTCTAACAAATGTCAAGGACTCATATTTAATTTGTATAATCGGTGTCTAACACGTGTCTGTTCTAACAAGTGTTTGACACAGACGCATTACCCAAACTAAAATAATTTCAATATTGTTATCCATCAAAACTCAGAATGAAAACTTCAAATATGTTTGATTACTAATCCTACCAAATGAATCTTGATGTTGAAATATACCTCTATCACTATACAAAACTGAAACCAAAAAAAAAAATGTAACCATCAAACTTGGGCAATAGACAATCGTACCCTACCAATAACTAGTACAATGTCATCTGCGTAGAACTTTTAAGTACTCTTAAATAAGTACAATGTTTCCCATATTTATGGCATATTACTTGTCATTAAAAGTTGAAACACTACCATTATTGTCTTGAAGGCATATTTCTATCTTGGAAAAGATATATAATCATGAATATAACAAACAGTTGAAGTACTGTAAAGTCTAAAAGTTTAAGTACAATGGAAGTAAATGCTGGCTACGCATCTTACTATATGACAAATCTTACAAATGCCAGGATAACTAGACAAATCAATGTCGGTCATACTATTCAGAAATACTGAAAAAAGATATAAAAAAATATTTAAAAAGAGAGTGATGTCTCAATCATTGTTTGAAACATACATAGAACCACCAGCTTTAAAAGCTTGGAGTATTTATTGTGTCATTTCATGTGTAACCTCAAATGGTTAAATCTTACAGTAACAAACATTCCAAGGACCAGAGCTTTGGCTCAGTGCCAAGCATTCCTTCCTTGACAGCTTTCAGCTCGTGTGCTGATAAAAAGAATGCAACACTGAACAGTTCATAATTTTATATTTTGGTCACATTAACCATTTTCATTACGTCTCCATTCCATTTAAAATGAGTAACACATATTGCATATGATTTCATTTGAATGACACAACCACATTAAAATAAATAAATAAAAACATTTAGGAAATAAATGAACGTTCGAAAGGTTGCCTTTTTCTTCTTTAGAAAACAAAATAGATGTATGAATAAGAAAGAGTTCAAAAAGCAAGTCGAGAACTTTTTCGTTCAAAGGAAAATTAGAAAAAAGATCTAAGAACTTCACATTTTCAGATTCATTTGTCCACAAATAATTTATTGGAGTGACTAGAGTTTCAAAAAATTTGAATGCAATGGTTATCAAATATTTGCAAGCCAAAAATTAATGACACTTTCAGGATGTAAAGGACAGCCAAGACTCCTTGCTTCCTTTAATCTAATGAAAAGTATTTGTAATCTCCCAATTTGCTAAACCATATAATCGTTGACAACTAAAGAGATTTTTTCACTGTTGGGTTTAATATGAAAATCAAACTTCACAAAGGCAAACTAGTCTTACCTTTTTTTTTAAAATACAACAAATGTGGGGTATGTGTATTGAACCTTCAACCTTTTACGTAGGAGTGGATGCTATTAGTATTAAAAATCAGAAACCAATTGATTTGGTAACTTCAGCAGTCACATATCATAAAGAAGAAACCCGACGGCAAAGAGATTTCCCACGTCTAAAAGTGTAAAGTACCATAATAAAAATTAGAGCATTAAACATGCACCAACTTCGACATGAATTAAAAAAACATCAAAGCTACTACGGGCACATGGTAAAATTAACCCACATATATAAGCCCACGTTCAAGAAAAATAATATGGCTTCAATGATCAAAAAGAGGATAAGAATAACTGGGAGAAGAGAATCAAGTAACAAAAGGAACAAAAATCACAAGGGAGCAGTTTTATTAAATCCTAGAAACAAGGAGGAAGAAGGAAAAAGCCAACAGACAAGTTGATTACCTCTTAACCAGACAGTGGTAATGGTGGTGATGATAATTAATCTAAAGTGAAGGGAACAATAAGCAAGCTGTTGCCTCCCAACGTCAAACAAGTGCTGAGAAAAGCAATATTCAAGCCCTAATTAGCTACTACTTAAATAAATAAGCAGAGATAAGAAGAAGAAGATGATTTTGGAAAGGGGGCAAGAGAACAAAAATCCGGGAAATATATTATTATCGAATAAATTAGATACCAGAATAGAGAAAACTTCCGGTTTGGAAGCTTCATATCTGGGACTCGAAAACAGCAGATCGCTCAGGAATCCAAAACGAGAGATTATTGCCATATTCAGCACTCGAGTCGGTTCAGTCCTCGCGCTCTTCTCCAAGTAGCAGCCCGCGACGGTCAGAAATTCTCATTTTAGGAAAGCAAATATCAAAACAAAATCTGCAAACCTCTTCTGGCAACAAAAATTATGCGTATATATATATATATATCTCGCAGGTTCCAATATTCTAACAGAAGATAAAAGAAATATCTGGTCAGATATGGAATAACCCAGATCTCAGGAAACCAAAATAAATAAATAAATAACAAAAACACATATCAGTGCGAGCGATATGAAAATAAAGAAAACCCCAAAACATGGCAGGGAGTTAGGGGTTTAGATGGGAACAGTAATCAGGGTTTTCCACTATACAACAATAATATACGAAGGATTTTCCGTTAAATATGAACAGTAATCGGTTTGTACCATCATAATAGAGGCAGGAGAGGACCATGAAAAGTCGCGCTTCCAAGTTTCCATGGAGATCAATGTCAAAAAAAAACAAAAGGGGGTTTCCGTTTCGCGTTTCTCCATGGAAAACTGCAAGAACGAAACAGTATAATAAAAATACAATAGTATATGGATTAGATGAGTCGAGAACAAACTGACAATTAGCGAAGAGCACCGCTTGAAGAGGCATTGAAGTCCGCCAGTGTTATTGTTCCATTTGTCCACAGGAAGGCGAAAGGGGTGGTGGGGGGTTGGAAGATAGAGGAATGGAGCAATGGACATCTGGCCATGACTGACACCATGAAATGAAGCAGAGACCAGAGGGAAAAGAAAAGAAAGGGGGTACTGGGAAGGTCTTCGATAAGCGGGCAGTGGGCAGTGGGCAGTGAAGTGAGCAGAAAGGGAAAATGATGGGGAAGCTGACAGAAAGAGAAGTGAGCACGCACCCGCAAAGGTATGCCCTTCATACATTTGGCTACAGCGTGTGCTCACTCTCTTCTGTCACTCTCCTTCCCTTTTGCTCTCTCCCTCCAATTTGATTTCATTCACCGAAACAGCCCCAACCAATTGACCTTAAAACCCACCCATTTCTGGAATCACCCCCTTTTTTGTTTTTCTCTTGGGGGAGAGGAAACTGGAGATCTCTACGGATTGATTCGACGCCGCGTTTCCTTCCATTTTCTCGCAAAATTCAAAACCCCTCTCGGCAACAGAGAGCACCAGTTAATTAGGGTTTCTTCTCTTTTTCTACCGCATTGATGATGATGATGATGATGACGACATGCCTCTGTCGTTTTCGTATCTCCATTTTTCCAACTTCTGCCGCTCTGTGTGAGTGTGAATTCTGATTCCAGCAAATTGTAGCGTCGGTGATTTGTAGTGTAGAAGAAAGCGGAGTGGGACAGTATGATGATGAACGTACAGTTACAGAGGCCAACTTTGAGGGGAGGAGAAGAGCAAAATGACGAATGGAAGATGACAGTGGTGGGACCCTTTTTGGACGACGTGGACCACTCACGGTCCGCCGATTGCTTTGACCACTTACGGCCAGTCTCGACCGTCCGATTGCCTCCGTGGTGCGGTGGGTGGGGTCCGCCTCAGATGTCCACTGCGTCCAAACGGGGGACAGACAACACAATTTCCATTTTAATTTCACTTTATATTTTATTTTAATCACTTTTATACCCATTTTAGTTTTTCTGATTCTGTACAAAAATCCACTTACCTTACCTCCTTGTTGATTATGTTTTTACAGTACATTAATGTAATAATAAAAAATATAGCCCCGTGAGCCCAAAGTCGATAATTGACATGTATTTATTTCCTGGAGATTATATATTCCATCTCCCATATCCTCTATTCAAAATATATGTATATAACATTGTCGATGTTAACTCAATACTTACATAAAGCATTTGAATTAAATTAAAAGTTAACCTAAATTTAGTTGAATTTGTTAAGCATCTATTTCGAACTAAAAAAAATATTAAATTCGGATCTTCATCTCACGTGTTGTATTAAAACTTTTAAATTAAAATGTGAGTAAAATTTTGGACATTGAAACAATAGTAGGACTGTGTACTGAAGTCCCGTGGAATCGATAAAAGGTTGAAATAGACGTGTTATTTTATTGATGTTGTTTACTATGAATTTTAGAGATTTATTGATGTTATTTATTAAGATTGCATGAAATTAAAATATTAATTAGATATATAAAGTTAGTAAAATATATTTTCCTTATTTCTAACTAATTATAAATATATTAATTAAATTGTGCATGGATGTTATTTTTAATTAAAACAATATTTTATTGATAGGAATAATTTTTATTTTAACAACTTATTTAATATTAATAAATAATTAAAATAAAAATTACATTAACTCCCAGAGGTTAATGTAATTTTTATTGAACAACCATCGTTAATATAAAATATGATGAGAAATGAATGGTAAAATTTGTAAAGTAATTATTAAAAAGATTATACGACCATACAATAAAAAATGAAAAAATGAGTAAGGATCTTGATGGATTTTCATTCAAAATCTTACCCATTTTTAAAGAGAATAATTATTTTACGAAAAACAAGAACAATTGTAACACAGGAACACAAACAAATGATAGTACATTCAATTCATCTTCCCCACATGTGTAACATAATGATCAATAAAGACCACACAAATTAAATTTTAGTTAAAAATGATTTTTATTGTACATAAAATTTGTATAAAATTTAGAAAGTTGCACAAAAGGTAGAAATCAATAAAATGGAAAGGAAATGGAAATACATGTATTCGAATATAGGACCTTATACTTTAATATCATTTTAAACATGATTAAATTAAGTTTTAACTTATAGATTAGGATAAATTTAAGCATTTATATTATGATAATGAACCAAAATAATCATTTTTAAAAAGTTAGACATTTTAAAATACCGAAATTAAAATCAAAGAAAAATTAAAATAATAGAAACCAAAATAATGATCCCAAAATTACAATAATCAAAATGAGAAGGAGAAAAAAAAAGTTGAGAATAATTTCCGTTTTTTTTTTATCATGAAAAAATGAGAGAGAGTGGAGGAGTGGTGATGAGATATAGGACATTAAATTTTGAAAAGACAAGACTATGTCTAATCCGATTTATTCCAGCGGGAGGATGTATCTAAGTCACCATCATTACTCATTCCTAAGCCCAAAGTACCATTTTTTCTTCTTATCTTTTAGTTTTTCCCCATCAACTATTCACATCTTTACATCTTTTTTCTCTTTTTTCTTTTACTCTAATGTTTCATTCCAATTTAATCAACTTTCTATCATATCATTTATCAACTTAAATTAAATACTTCCCCCACGGGTAACATACTTATAATATTTAGAGGAGCACTCAAGGTATATTATAAAATTTTGTTAGGTCTGTTATATTATGTGTGGAATACTTAACGCTAACATGAATATAACGCTAATATTTAAGTATCGTTCACTATTAAAAGTCATACTTGTTATTATTTTTTTTTTATTTTTTTGGCTAAAATTATTCTTCTGGGAGGTTCAAGACTGGGACAACTCCCAACTTGATGGTGGGACCCATCTGTGGTCGACCTAGAGGTGTGGTGTCTAGGTCGGGCGCGACTTCCATCCCCCGCTGACAGGTAGATCACAAATTTCGAGCTTGTCGAAGGAAGGGCAAGGGAGGAGGTCCGACCTCTTGCACCCCAGCCCTCATACTATCATGCAAGCTCTGATCCAGCAGGCCGAACTCTCGAATCCATCGCAATCCTAAAATAGGTCGAGTCCTACCTCAACTTGGCCATATCCTTAAAACTCCCCTAAGCGATGACAAGCCCTCCTCCTAAAAGTTACAAATACAAGGGGTCACACTCATTCAAAGTATACATTCCTAACTGTCAATCCATTTCATTTTCTTCTCCTCTTAAGCTCATAGCTTTGACTTAAGCATGAGAGTATACGGTAAACTAACACACACCACACACATGTCTCTTTTTTTCTCTATATTTGAGCAGATTATCACATCCCTGATTTATCGAAACAAAATTTCGTTCTTTTCCTCTTCATTATCAAACCATTCTCAAACATGCATTCAAATGGTTAAAAATCACTTAGAATTGTGCGAGTCACATATTTGGCAGCTATTTGATGCATTTGGAAATCAATACTTTGTTTGCAAGTTGCAAAACCCAGCACAGTCCCTACTCCGAAAAATCGGATCTCGTAAATTAAGAGGTGGGGATAAAGATGGAAAAGTGACACCACCGACTAATTTTGGGGGTGGGGTTATCCTGTCCCTATAATTTTATTTTATTTTTCTCTCTCTTTTTTTTTTTTCCGTTTTTTGTTTTGTCTTTTGTTTTATTTTTGGAGATAATTGTCCCTGTAATCTAGCTGCCCCCTTATTCAATCACCCCTCGTATTTTATGCTTAAAAAAAGGTTGTTTAAATAAAATAAAAGTGAAAATAATGCAGAAGTCTAAGCCGGAGGACGGGTTTGATTTTAGAAAAATAAAAAACGGAAGATGAAACTTTTAATTGGTCATAAAACAAATAATAGAAATCGACAAAATCTTTCTGGTAATTAACAACGATTTTTTTTTTTTTTTTGAGGCAATAGTTTCTTGAAAAACTATTTCATGTAGCTTTGGAAGTAATTTTAAAGAATGAGTACACAATCTTTTTACATTTAAGATTTATGGCTAATATAATTTGAAATATTTATTTTGTTCAACTGTCCCGTTCGTTGAAGCTTTTATTTGAGGGGTACTATTAACATAGGACACGATGATTGATATACTAGAAGTGGGTCCTTTTCCATCCTCTTGTATCAACGAAAGGTATTTTCTTAAATGTTCTGACCCTCACATATAATTAATACGAACTCTACCCACCAACCTTTAAAACACACACATACATATACATTAGTATGGTGCCAGTCACACAGGCGATATTAAGTTAGAATTAGAGTTTTATGAGTGTAGCAAATAGTAGAGTTTTGTAGCCTACCTTTATCATACTTTTATCATGAGATTTCACTTTTTATTTATAGACGAAAGAAATCTAGAGGAATTCAAAAAGGTATTTCAAATTTTATAGATTTCTGGATCTTCTTCCCTCGTGAGCCCCTACTGAGCTCGTGATTTGTGACTAACGTTGGAGAATGCCTCATCAAGCTCCTAGCCGAGCCAAGCGAAAAGATTTGTGGCCAATAATAGTCGGCCTTGTGGCCTAATTAAGTTGAGGCGGCTGAGGTTGATCAGCCTCATGGCTCGACCGAGCTGACCAATCAACATTGGTCGAGGCCTATCCGAGCTGACCAATACTAGTCGACTACAAGGCTAGGGTGAGCCGACCAAACTTGGTAGGCTAAAAGGCCTAAACGACTCGACCAATACTAGTCGCCTACCAAGGCTAAGTCGAACCGATCTGCTAGTTGACTTTTGTGGTCAGCTCGGCCATGGATTGGTTGAGCCAACAAGCCAGTCCATTAGTTGGCCTTGGTCCTTGGGTTGGGTCTGCTTCTTCGAATTCTCTAGCGCCCACTTGATGTTTGAGCTTGGTTTGTCGAGGTTTGATTGTTTTTAGTCTTACTTTACTTCATTCATAACATATAATATCACTCTAAGTCGAGAATAGCCTACATCGAGGTGCCAAGTTTTTCTGTCGGTGGAGCTTTTGGGAAAGATTAGTTCATTATTCCTAAAATAACTTTAATCCATCCGACGATGACTCTTTTCACTCAATATTGTCATATCATTAAGGCTAACTTTTGTCCTTAAGGACAGGTGGGTCTTAACTTGCAGTCAAGCCTCCCTTATGCCTTTACACTCAATGGTAAATTAACGTTTGGTCCAAAGAAACTTTTGTACATCTTCATTACCTTTCGAGAGGCCCACCCCACACTCCATAGAAAATATCTATCTTGACAAAAGGTTAACCTTCAAGTATATAATGACATCTTATGGCCCCCTATACATTAAAAAATTCAATTTTCTAATTGAATGAGCTCATCAGTAACATTTCATAAATATTAAATTAACTCAATTTGACCTAAAGAAAGATGGGCATGTTACTTCTTGTTTTATTTTCTCTAGATATCGTTACAATCTGAATTGAATCTTCACGTATGCTATAAAAAAAAACAACACCGATATCATAACCATCTCATCCGAGGAAAAAAAATGGTTTGGTCTTAAATGGTACAAATAGAAATGATTTAAATTTGCAAATATTGCTACACTAAATCAACAACACAATCATATAGATTCACATATAGTTTTGTAGTTGCATGAAATGAATCGTGGCTTGATATGGGACAATGAAAAGGAATCAAACCACACACCAACTGTTAGTACAATTTGACATCATTGTACACTAAAAAACGACGTACCATTGTATTTGATGTGAGTAATAACTGTGTCGTTTCGTACAAATTAAAGGCATTTTTAGTACAATTTTGGAAATGCCCAACCACAACCCTCCAAACATCACACAAGTTGTAGGCAGTTGGCCCCGCCAAACAATTAACAACCACACCCACAATCTCTAAAGTTCCCTTTTTTTTTTCTTTTTTTTTTAATCCTTTTAAAAGGTAAGTTCATAACGTTTATTCTAAATGAAGAAACGTCGGACTTACTGTTTTAGCAAGTTTTGAGTTTAATTATGAAACTTAAAATTTACAAGTTTTATGAAACGATGCCGAAATTGAGCTAAATTAAAACTACATCGATCACTACGTTCGTCTCATACAAATGTTTCTTTTCACTCTTAAATGAAGGATCAGCCGCATGTACCTACCTTCAAAAAACCCAACCTGTGTTCTATTGGGGGCATCATAATCTTCACACCAATAGTTTTCTCTTGTTCAGTTCAAACCGTGATACTGCAGTCTAGTTGTGCTAGAATCTCATTTTGCTAGACCGTTCACTTTAGAAAGTCTACTAGTAAGAATTCCTCATGCGAGTATTTGCAAACTCTCTACCCATCAATAACGAATATTGTTAAACCAAACAACCATCATTAGGTCTTTAATTATGCAGACCGCCGGAGTCTTTGTTCTGCTTCAGAAGAAATAGGCATATTTTGCTTAACATTGAATTTAAAAATTGAAAGGTAGTATGATGGTGTGTATTTAATATACTGTAAATATTTTTATTAATTTCTCTCATACTTTTTTTTAATATAATTTCTCTCACACTTGTGGTTTTAGAAATTAGTTTGAGACCTAGGAAGAAAATTATGTAATATGTCATAGCATTTTTTATTAATCAATTACTAAACTCAAAAAGCTAAACTAGTGGATTAGGGCAGAAGAAAATTTAGAAAATTGACTAGACAATAAAATTTATATATTCTTCCTTTCGATCATTTTCACGAGCTTGATACAAATTAGGTGATCATATTCATACCTTTTTTTTTTGTTACCTTTGATTATAGTATTGTTTTTTCAACGTAAAGTTCGACACAATGATTTTAATATGGTAGAGCACTCAAAATCAATTATGTTTTGGTTTATAGATTTTCAAGAAGCGTATTTTACTTACCGGATTTTAGAAAAATTACAAATTTTATCCCTCTTTTAAAATAGGTTTATTTTAATTATTGACCGTAAAAAATAAATAGTTTTCACCATTGCTGTTATTCTATCATTTAATATTCATACACTTAATACTTCTCTTAGCCAACTTATGTGACTTTGCTACTGTCCACGTGTTAGCACATTAATACACATATTTCTTGTTCGGAGTCCATCCGAACAAGGGACAATGGTATGATATTATCAGCTTTGAGAGCATAATTCTCATGATTTTGCTTTTTTTTTCACTCAAAAGGCAGATGTTATCCCTCTCATTTCTAATAATGTGAGACTTTGTTTGCACTTTTTACGTATCCAACAATCTTCTAAATCATAACTCTCGTACTAGATGTTGTGAGCACATCCGAGCAAGGGACCCTCCATATTCCCATAATGGATTCGTTTCAAACATAACCCTAACAATTTTACTTTTTATTTCACTCAACAATCATCGTATCAATTGAGACGTTGTCCTTCATATACATACACACGATTATCTCATTCTCTAACCAACATGGATCTTTATTTGAACTCTTTACGTATCTAACATTTCTAAAGATATAAATATGTATCTCCTGTAAAATAAATTTGATGATAAACAGTGATTATTTTTTTTCTTTTTTTTTTTGAAAAAGTTAGGACTATAAGAGACATTCATTGAGAAATATAACAAATAAAAAAATAAGGATTTAAAAGTTTTGATTTTTATGATAAATGAAGTTTCTGGACCCCGACAAAAGACCAAACCTGAAACAGTGAAAGAAAAGGAAAAAAAGGGGGAAAAATATGATAGCGAGGTAGCAATACTTAGGATATTTATGACCCATAATAAAATTTTATCAAACTTTTTCGAAAATAAAATAAATGCCTTTTTTTCATATTTATCTATACTACTCATAAAAAAATTTATTAACAATTAGCGAAAGATGAATATAAAAGATGATTACATAACAAATATCGATAAATGTTATAATAGAGACATTATTTCTTTCTATTTTTTATAGAGATATTTTTTTATCTCGTTTAAGAAAAAAGATAAAGAGATATCAAAATTTTGATGAAAATAGCAGGAAAATATGTGGCGATGAATATTTTGTAGTGGGTATTTTTGGGCTTTGGGTACCGACAGATACAGTCCAATGTATTTCCCAGCTCTGACAATTTTCACAGAACTGAAAAAGCAGATATAATTTTCACCCAACCATTTCCACTTTTAACCTTTTTTTTCTTTTTCTTTTTTATTTTGTTCATTCTCCGTACACATTTCAACACTTTCACTTCACTTTCTTAAAGATGAAAATTCTGGGAGTGCTCAATTACACCTCCTTTCTTTAATACATAAATTATCTTTCAAATAAAAATATACAAATAGCTTAGAAGTTACTTACACCAAACTATGCTGGCAATTTGCCAACCACACCATTAGTCTCGATTGGATGTGGTCAATGCAAGAACTGAATGACTGAGAGCCGTGACTCTCTATTATTAAAGATAACCTTCGTGACTTTATTTTTGGTTTCACTGAAAAAAAAACTCCATATCAATAGAGATAATTATTCTTATCTAACCAATATGAGACTTTATTTGCACTCCTTACGACCTCAACAATAACTCGTGCACTCATATACTCCCGGTTGACAACGAGAGCTTGCTTCTATCCAACAGGTCCATATATAGCATTTGCTACACGGATCACATTGTGGGAACACTCGTTCTATCGCACCCTCAATCTTCTCTCCTCGAACAAAGCTACATCATTATTCATATCAATCTACTCGACTATGGCAGGCTTTCTATCAATCTACCGTACAACTATATTTTTTACTATGGTTTTGATATCACTTGTTAAGGACGGGTACCCAATACCCAATACAATAGTACAATTGTATGATATGCGCTCCAAACTTATGGCGTTTAGACATTTTCCTTGATGTCATTCGTCCCGGTGCTCTCCTTGTTTAATAAGTCTGTAAGAAGGTGGATTTTGGCTTACTAGAAAGCAAACCCCACCCTGGATTGTGGCAACTTTCTATTCATCTCGAGCTATCTTGTAGTATCTAAAATGACTTTGAGCACCCGGCTTCACCACAGCTGCATGCTCTCTCCTTCATTAACACTTCCCAATCTACAATAGACCTGATCTTCTCTTGATCCATCTGAATTACATTGTTCACTTTGGACATATAACTATCGCAGCTTTGCTTTCATTTTCATCCAAAATGAAGATAATCGTTTTCGTCTATATACTATGGATCACTTCATTTCCTAGCCAATACAAGACTTTATCTGTACTCATTGTACAATCCTAAAGCTTTTACTTCTCTACATGCTATACTTGACGATAAGCAGAGTTTATTTCGAGAAGAGATCTCCAAAATGACCTTGTCAAATGAAGATTAGCAGGTTCGAATCCCCATACATCGATAAATGTTCTGTTTCAAAAAAAAAAATAAGAAAAAATAAGAAAAAAAAAATTGAAAACATCGATAAATGTTCAAACCGTTCGGGCTAGCATCCAATTGGTGAGCCCATTTCCGAATCGAACTTTGCCCATTAGACTGAACAGAATACAATTTCATTAAAAAAAAAAAAAGTAACAATGATAATAAAATAATTCCAAAAAGTAGTTCACATAATAAGCTAACTGAAACAATCAATGGACAATGGTTAATCTTTATTATTATTTTTATAATTTTTTAAGTCTACGGTTATTCTTCTATTTAAATAGATTTTTTTTTCTAGTTTTAAATTGATTATCTTCTTAATTAGAAATTGACGTGTTGTATTATACTTTAAATCAAAAATTCTTAAACCAATGGAACCGTGGTGCAATGGTAGCGCGTCTGACTCCAGATCAGAAGGTTGCGTGTTCGATTCATGTCGGGTTCAAATTCATGATATTAAATATATCCTTTTTTAATTTTAATTAAAACTAAGTTTTTTTTAATTAATTATTAAAATATTAAGTACTAAATTAAAGCTAAGTTTAAAATACATCTGCCACTTGAAAATTTTAAAATTAGTTTTAATATTTTAATTAAAATTAAAAGTTTTTTTCCCTAAACTGTATCTTAATTAAATCTAAGTCTAATAATTAAATCTAAGTCTAAACCATATGTACTAAATAACATGGATGATTAATGAACGAGATTAAAAGGTGTGAATAACATGGACGATTTGTCAGATTTCACCAAACTATAGCGACCAAATTAAAATTATTAAAATATTAAGTGCTAAATTAAAACTAAAGTCTAAATTACATCTACTCACTTGAAAATTTTAAAATTATAAGACCAAATTAAAAGTATGCGAAAATTTTAAGCACCAAATTTGTAATTTAATCGAAAATAATATATATTAAAAAAAAAAAAAACACTTTGATACTGGAGTCTAACATGATTGGGCCCAAAACTGAAGCCTGAAGCTGGTGAGCGAAATTGGGAGGGGGACGGAGGAGAAACCCCAACAGCGAAAGAAATCAAGCAACAGCAGCAGCTTCGTCTCTGAAGGAGCTATGGCTGTCGAAGCTGACGCGTCCGGAGGCTTAGATGAAGTTCATAGCGATGTTCTTGCGGGTTCTAGGCAAGCTTGCTATAAGGTTCTTTCTCTCAATCACTCATTCTCTGCGGTTTCTGTTTGATTAAAATGCTAGAGTGTTAATGAATATGGCAATTTTATTCATCTGAACAAGGCTCGCGATGCTTTTTATGCTTGTGTGGAGAAGGAATCGGACAAAAAGCCTACTGAAATTGCTTCTGTTGGCCTTATTTACCCCGCCGAGTGTAAAGCTTTGAGGGCCGAGTTTGTCAAACTTTGTAGGGCTTCTTGGGTAAATGCCGTTCCCCGATGACTGGAGATTTTAATACAATGTTGGCACTTAGAATTTCTAGTCTCGTAGATTTTGATTTCTGGTGTTTGTGATTTGGTAGGTGAAGCATTTCGATAGGAAGTTTTGTCAGAACAGTAGGGTTCAAAGACTCTTAGATGACAAAGATTCGAGGAGAGGTCCCTTGTCACTTCCGCAGCCTTACACTTTTAAGCCCACTAGTTGAACCAAACACAAATCCCCCGGGTGGAACAACTTTGGGTGGTCAGAATCTTTTATGACGATCGTTGTTTTTGTTCTTTTTTTACTTTGTATAGCGATGATTGTGCTTTAATTTCCTAATAATGCCAATCTTTTTAACAACTTACAAAAGCTTATTCCACCCCATTTTTTTATATTTTTAGGATATGGGAGTTCTATGGCCATTATGAACACAAGAACAGTTATGTAGTCACTTGACTAAACTTACATAGTATTACCCGTCTCTAAAACTATGTCGGTCATGGTCTTGGTAGTTGTTTCACACTATTTGGATGCTTTAATAGTTTGTAGAAATACAAATCCATTCGTCTTCCATAAAGAATTCTTGACTGCATTGCGTTGGTTAGTTGTTAAAGAATGTGCTTGCTTGGCTCATTATTTGAGAATTGCTCAAGGTACCTTTATAGAAATGATTTCTTGATAAGTATGAATAAGGGAAAGTGTGAAGTGCATAGGGAATGTCGGTTGAATGTACGAGGTCAAAGTAGAATGTAGCCTTTAGGAAAATATATATAACTCAATTAAGTGATAGCTCACGGATATGGTGGAAGGAAGCCCAAGTGTAGATCATTCTCAAGAACACATTATGATTTTATTTTTAGATCTAGGCATTGGACATGACTCTACTGATCTTTCCAGCTGTGGATTGCTCCTTCATGACCTTATTTAAAATTCTCAAATCCTTGATCATTCTCTTTGCAAATGCGTGTGGAAAGATAAATACCCAGAGAAAGTAAAGATTTTTTCAATGGGAATTGCTCCTACCAAAAGGTATCAATACACAGGACAAGATTCAAAGAGAAATCGTAAATTATTCAGTTCCTCTCTGCTCTCACTCTCGCTCTCACACTCGCTGCCATTTTATGTGTAGAGCCAGTGAAGAATCCTAGGATCATTTCTTCTTCGCTTGCCCTATGGACAGTGATTTTTGTAAATTTTATTCTCGAAATTGTTCATTTACCCAAAAGAAAGGGTGCTATAAGTATTGAAATTTTGATTTGATGACACCAGCATGCTGTCTTGCTACAATTAAATAATTAATTACATAAGAAATTGCTTCTAGGAAAGGGTTATGTACGAGTACAGTGCTTCAAGAAGCTCCCTGTACTGACTGGGTATCTTCTTGGGAGCAAGACTGCTGTTTAAATAGTTTTTCTGGAAGAGGTAAGAGTACTTGTTAAGGACATCGTTTTATCACAGAATCTTATTCTTTTATCCTTGCGGGAAATTAAGCTAACTCTTAATGTATTAAAACTTCTAGGATTAGATTTCCATACTTTTGAAGGACTTCAATGAAATGATAGAATGAACTTTTGACAACCTAATACGGTTGTGAATCTTTATAGGCTGGTCAAACCCAATGCCTTTGAGAAATTCCTTGATTATCATACTATTGAGATAGTTTGAGATTTATCTAACTAGCAACCACGGGTGTGATCAGAGTTTTAACCTGTTAATCTTCAGGAGATGCATCGAGTTTGACTAACGAATAACGATTGGATTAGTTATTTCAATTGTACATTCTCAGTATAGAGATGATAAGAATGACCTTTGTGGGCTTGTTGAGAACATCAGATAGGATACACAGGACGTGAAGTTATAGGATTCTAGAATTGAGGATTGGCCGAGTGGTATTGGGGCATGGGAAAGGGACTATGGGGAATGGGTTCAAATCTTGGCCACCTATCTAAAGATAAAATTGTAGTGCTTCTTGACAAAAAGGAGTAACACGACCACTTGTTTGATGTCATCACTTTCCCCCATCATCTTCTTACATTATTGAGGAAAATCATAGTGTGCTTTAGGAAATACATTCTACGTTGATCATGTATCTCATATTGGATTTCATGACTGTAGGGATATATATGAAGAGCAAAAGTTTTGTTCTTTGCCTTATCCTCATACAGAGGATGCAACAGTGTGAGCTTTATAATATTTTGCTTCAATCCTCCTCTCTCTAGACTTTTCCTGATAGATTGGAGTTCTCGGGCGTCTTAGAAACCATCCCGATCCAGCCGATAAGCTGACTTTTTCCTCCAGTTTTATTTGCTATATCTCAGATAGGATAATTGAGTTCTCAGGCATCTGAAAATTCTTCAGTCGAATACTATTTGATGATGCCATTCTGTAAGTTGTCTATGGAAGAGATTATTTGATGACTGCATTTTAATTGTCTGTTTGAACAGACAATGTCTCCATCTATAGGAAATATTGGTTCCCCATTACAGACTGTCATAGATACCAGAGGATTATAAAAATTCTAAAGTAGGTATAGCAAATAAGATAGTTTAGTTGAATTTTGTTCCATCAAGACCAACTAAAAAATCGGACAAAATTATGAAACCTTCTCAGCTTATTAAAATATTTAATACTAGTAAGAAAAATCTGAAACTTTTACTGCCATCTAACAACTTTGAAGGGGGAAAAAAAGAACTTGGTTGGGATTAAATTAAATTCAATTGAGTAAGGAATTTCCAATCCCATTGAAACGTCTATGACGACTTTTTTCTCATTAATCATGTGGAAATAATATTATTTCAAAGAAGAAATAATGTGGAAATAATAAGTCAAATGATGAAAATTGGTCTGAAATTAACCTTACCTTTGAATAAAATTTCTAAGGTATTGGACTTTAAGAGTAGTGGACTACTTGTCGCTTGTTGTGGGCCCATTAGTCGCTTCCCACTCCTTGTCCATTAATACGACCAGACATTAAAAAAATATTGGAGAATTCAAAGTCAAAATTGATGTTTTTTTGGTTTTTTCTTTTCCATTGTCCCGTTTAATTTTATGAGACAACTATTGATTCTAGAAATTTATAGAATTATGGGATTTGAAATCGTCATTTCAAATTTCCTTTACTTTTTTTTCATCTTGAATAGTCTTTCTCATTCCCCTTCTTATTTTAATGCGTATTGTTCATAGAGAAATCTTTCATCAACGATAGAACAAGATTCCTTTTGTATCAGGTCAATCCCAATTGAATTTTCTATTGGCTCTTTTTTCACCTAATTCTTTGTTTTGGAATGTGGTATTCTCATTCATCTCTTCTAGAAGAATCTGACACTAAACCACTCCATTCCAATTCCATTTTTTCCATTTTTTTTTTCATTTTTAATTTTAACTTTAGTTTTCCCTAAACGCAACTCTTTTCTTTTCTCTCCTTAAAGTTTTACTTTCCTTTAGTTTGAAAAGAAACCCTTTTTTCATCCCTTCATATAACACACTTGTTTTGGATTAAACTTGACGTGTGTTTATATGATGATGGGAGATTAATTTCAATTGTAGTTTTACTTTGTGACCCATAAAATTGAAAAGAAAAAACCTGTCAATGAACCGTAAAAAAAAAACAAGGAGAAAAGAAGGTACGATTTATTGTCTATAAAATAAGAAATGCATATCGTGAAAGTCTCACTTTAAAATAACAAAATTTCTTAGAGCTTTAAAAATTTTCCAATCATATAGAAGATAAAACTCAAAAATGATACCATATGCATACCATCGTAAGAAAAGAGAGTTATTATAAAAAGTTTGAAGAATTATAATACTCTGATACCAAACAAACTTATGTTGAATTTCAATTTAGTTAAGAGGATGAAGAAATTCTAAAAATTAATTAAAATATAGTGTGTACATCTCAAATCGTGTCTTATTATCATTTCAATTGAAACTCGTATTCATTTGATTGTGTTGATGTGGATAGAGATATGATTGAGTTGAACTAACCACTCCCACCATTTGAACCAAATGCCTTTTCATTATTATCTAAAGCTACCACTTGCTTTTGTAGGGAGTAGGAAGCAACATCCTCTTATCCATTATAAAGGGTGTTCTACAATATTTAGGATTCATTTTGTAATAATTCTATTTTTAAAAAATTTATTTACTAATGATTTATATGTTAATCTACTTTTTTAATTTTAAAAAAGGGAGAATTATCATGAACCGGGTGCATTTAGAAAATTTAGCAAAAGAGGAATGAAGAATATAAACCCCAGATACCATGTATTATAAAAATGGTGGCTAGTGAAAGGTTACCTACCATTTTCAAATTCTATTGGCCAACAGCTATAAAATAATAATGATAATGATAATGATAATTTGGGGGAAGTTAAAAATAGGGGAAAAAAACTCGGTGGAATGGAACACTTTTTTTTTTCTTTTGTAAATAAAATAAAAGTGAAATAGAATCATTGGGCATGAGTTGTCAAAGCAAATATACTTACACAGTTACACATAATAATAATTACACAATTTCCTAAAAGAAGAAAAACAGATGCATTCCAACGTCAATTGTCGTACCAAATTCAACACTATAAATAAGTAATGAGAGAGAGAAGAAAAAACTCTTAGTCCTATGTCCCAAATTAATTGATTTATTTTATTACTTAAGAGTAACGTCTAAACCCATCTAACCTTCAGTTAATTATAAATTAAACCCAATTGGAAAAAACAGTCATCTTTTTACAAAAGGAGGAGATGATATATATGAATTATGATTTGTAAGCAACTCTGTCTAATTAATTAGTCATCACTGATTTGAAAGCACAAACCATACAGTCAAGTAGAATAACACAATTTAATTTAAAAATACGAAGAGGGGTTGGTTGGTTAAGTAAGCAATTAACAAAAATTGCTTTAATTAAACCCATTACCAAAAAAAAGAGAGAGAGAGAGAGAGAGAGAGTTTTTTTTCTTGGGATGTGGTGCAAAGGAGAAGGCTTTTGATGTCAGAGGGAGGTGGCTTTGCCTTCGCCTTTTTAGGGTTGGCCTTAGGTTAGGGTTGTAGCCGAAGTCCACGAGAATACGGCGCCGTATTGAAAGATGCCTTATTTTCGTAGACTTCTCCAGTAGTTGACTCCATTAAAACTTTTCATTTTCTAAAGTCAATCCTCAACGCGCCGCCGTGTTCTCTTCACGGCTTCGACACGGAGGCCGCGTCTTTGACGGAGCCGTTCCCCATGCTCGTGGATTGCACCGTCAGCACCGACATGCTCGGCGACGACGGCCCCTCGCCGTTGGATCCCATCACCGGGTGCTGGCCGTGGCCGTGGCCGCCGCCGTTCATCATCGGATTCCTGGAGTGACACGTGGAGGTGGATATCGCCGTCGCTAGCGAGATCGGCATCAAACACAGACCCTTCCCCTGCAAATACTGCATCGCCGATCCCATATCCTTCTCCATCAGCTTTGCCACCTGCTGCTCCGTCACCGTCATGCTGTCGTTCGACGACGCCGTTTGGTTCCCGCCGTTCGAACTCCGGCCCCCCTGGGCCCCACTTCCTTGCATACACTCACCGCCCCCCTAAAACGACAGCGCTTCACCACTCAGTAAATAAATTAGCAATACCACCTAATAATAATAATAATATTATTATTATTCTTTTTTTTTTCTCTCTTTTCCCATTTAAACGAAAACGACAGGCAAATCAAAAGCTGATAAAAGGTTTCGCACGCGTGCTACCCTTTTCCTTTTGTCGTCTTCCGTTAAAGGAATTTTAAACTTAATCCCCAAAATTCCTCCTGTTTTCTTTCTATATAATTATATTCATTTTAATTTTCACCCACTTAGTAATTATTTATATATATTTGTTAATGTATTTTACAGAACTGACCTCAGAGGAGACGTCAGCAACAAGTGGAGCAACAGCAGCCGCGCCCCCCAACCTGCTCATGCTCAGAACCTGCACCACACCAAGTAAGAAGAAAATTGAATTAGTAATCCCATTTATAATATTAATTTAAATAAATTATACCCTCCAGGGAATCTTTTTTCTAATAATAATTTAAGAAACAGGGGTAGTGGGGCCCATACCTTGACTTGAAGCTGGAGGAACTTAACGTAGTCGATGATCTCATCCAGCATTGAAGCCTTGTCTGTCTGAAATTCCAAAACCCCACATTAATTAAAACCCCTAAATTAATTATAATTAGCCTCAACCGGTGGAGATTATTAATTTTACCCATTTAATATTTTTTTCTATATTCCAGAGCACCGAAAGCATAATAAAAATTAAAAAGAAAAAGACAAGCGTTGCTAATATTTATATGCTGGTGATTTTGTTGGTAACTGCCTCGCTAATTTATCGACACGTGGCCCTGGTTTTGCGTGATTAGTTTCTCACCGTCAACGTCGTGTGGGAGGGGAAGTTAATGGACCATAATGGCCCTGGTCAGGTGGTTAAATTACGGAACGGAGCAGGTACATAACTGACCGGCGGTTACAGTTTTGCACAGACCCACACCTCCGCAGCTATGCTATGCTAGACTCCGATTCCTTTTTATTTATTTATTTATTTAATTTATAAATTGGGATAAATTGAATTAATTAGCGAAAAAGAAAAAAAGCTGGAGTGAAGATGAAGAATGGAAACTGACCTTATTGGCATTGGGAACGAGTTCTTGCAGGGCTTTCATTCTCTCTGCAATTCTCTCTCTTCGAAGCTACACAAACCAGACAAAATTTTACAAAATAAAATTACAAATTCTAGACCATAATTCTGTTTGGATGCCGGGAAAACTTAGAAAGAACGAAAGAAAATACAATAGAAAATACTATCGATCTTTGTCTTTGTGTCCATGGGATTGGACATTTGAGTCAACCAAGAACAAGTGAGAAACAAGTAAAAAGAAAATGCAATAGGAAATGATTTTGTGGGTAATCTTACCCTTTCGGCGATACTGTGGGGGTCAGTGGCTTGGCCTCTACGAGCTCTGACCTTCTGCTTCGGCTGCGATGGAGAAACTCCGACGGAACCACTCGCCGGAGCTTGGTTCATCCCGTTTCCCGGGGCTCCGAAACTATGCGATTGCATAGAACCTCCCTGAGAAACAGAAAAGAGTTCAAAATCAAATTTAAGAATTCAAAACACCGCCGAGAAATAGATCCACCGCGCAACTAACCGAGTTCGGTGGCCGGAAGCAGGATCCGTCGACGACGTCGTTTTGAGAGCGATCCAAATCGCCATTCCCGAGCGAGAGAGGCATGGGAGGGAGGCCGTGGTCGGCGACGCCATTTCCGGCGGTCATCCCTCTGTTCAAGAGAAGCTGTTGCTGGAGCATGACGGCTGCCTTAGCGGCCGCAGAGTTGCCGCTGATCTGGTGGCTCCGGAGCTTGGAGGCGAGGGCGGCGGAGTCGTGGTCCAAGTGGAGGGCGTCGTCGGAGAGTTCTCTAGGCTTATTGATAGGGTTTAGGTCCCAGGGGGATTTAGGGTTTGGAGGATTCATGTCGGGCCACGAACAGGAGGGGATAGTATTGAGCATTTGCTCGAGGAAATCGTCGTGGGAGGTGGCAGGATCGAAATGGTGAAGGTGAGACGGCGGGATCTGTGGCGGCGCCGCCGCCGGGTTCAAGTGATTGTGGTGGTCGTTGTGGAGATCCTGAAGGGAGATTTGGGAGTGGTTCAACAGAGAGTTCAAGCCTTGCATTTCTCTGCTACAGGGCTGCATGATCGCCGGTGAGTGGATTTATTTCTGATCGCGGTGGAGATCGCCGGAAAAAGATGAACCAGGCGGCGGAGGAGAATGGATTGATTGAAGAAGAAGCTGTCACAGGGAAACCATATGAGAAATCATTTGGGGTTTCGATCGCTATGAAAAAATCCTTAATCTTCTCTTCTTCTTGTTCTTCAAATTCTGCGTGTATTTGATTTTGGAATTTTTGGTAATGGTTTGATTTTTGAGTGTTTGGTTATTAAATAGCAAAAGGAGGAGCTTCTCTCTGCCACACCACGTTTGGTTTTATTCAATATTTTTTCCATCTTCAACCCACTTTTAAAAATATATTTAATTCTATTAATCCTTTTAATTTGTCTACTATATTTTTATTTTAAGAAAACTAAAAATATGTCTTGTAAAGTGTAATAAGTAGGAATATTTTTACTTATATTATGATGTAGTTTATTTTTATTAACTTCTCTATAAATGGATCAATAGAATTTTAAGTTGGCAAATTTTGTTCCTTTTAGGTTTCTTATTTTACCATTGGAAGCTATATTCAGAAGCCAAAAACATAATAACTAAATTTGAATTATACGAGCTTATTAAAAAAAAAGTCAAACAAATTCTTTTATTTAAATTTACTTAGTTGATCCTAATAACTAATTAAAATATTATAAACCAAACGAATATAGGTCAAACATGTTATACCAAAAAAAAAATTTGAAATATTAGTAACTTTTCATGATATAATTATGGATCCTGGTAGTTTTGTTCAGTAAAATTGCATTTAAAGATTTATTTGGTTATATTTATGCAGATTAACGCATAATTAATATTTCTTCCTAATAATTGAAATTAATTAAAAATAATATTTATAATGTTGTATTCTTTTAAAAAGGAAAAACTAGAAAAGTACACGAATATTATATTTGGTTTCCTTTTTGTTTTTAGTAATTATGTGATGAAAATTTAGAATTAAATATTTTCTGCAAATACAGATGTGTTTGTTAGGTTAGACGGCCTTTTTTTAACAATAAAATAAAATCTATAAAAATTCTGTTGTTATTTCTAATAAAAATACAAAATATAACCACGCGCCCACGGCTCGCGTGGTTCTCCATCTGTATCGGCGACGGGCGGTCGATCGCCGCCTGCCGTTCCAAATTTTCCGGTTCTCGACACTCCAAGTAGATCTGATAGTCCACGTCATCCGTAAATACCCCGAACTGCCACGTGGATGCTTTCTACTGCTGATGATTAACAACATTATTTGAGAAGATTAATCATAATTACAACTGTACCACAACAATGATTGGATGTTTTATTGTTATTAATTAATTTCCACTTAAACTTGTAACAATCATTCAGCGAAA